CCCCACAGGCCACTGTACACTAGCAGGTACTACTGGTCCCTTAACACTCTCCCAGTGCTAGATAAAGACATTAACAATAAAACATTATGACATGTATAATATTAATGATAAGCATACCGATGTGGGCATTAATTAGAAATCCATAGTTACCATATAATAGTGACAATAAAATTGATGCATGCAAATGCAGTGTTGCTATATATATCCCAGTTGAGTTTGGGACAAGAAAAAGTGGAATAACTTTTTATAGGAAAGTGAGATAAGGAAGAAACTTTCACAGGTTCTTAATCGCCAAGGTCCATCAAAATTTGTGAAACCTTGGGTCTCTCAGCCCTTGGGAACTTTGAGAACCAGGTTCTCCCTATAAACCCAATGGCATACCAAAGCTAACCGCAATGACGTTTCATGATGTCATAGTTTACATAAGCACATGTGGTCGAGTGCCCAAACTGATAATTCTTCTTTTAAAAAGCTAATAGAGCAAGATTTTCTGATAATGATGGCCTTTATGAAAACTGTTTTAAGAGTGAAACAACACAGCCGCCATTCCTCTATGAATATCATTATTTACGTCATTTTGTGATGTAGCTACATTTTTCAAATTCCACGCAGCTGCTCCTGGGATATAGTATAGTACATGTATAATATACAAACCTGTGATGACATTCAAACTTACTAATGCAATAATAAGCCCGGAGATGCAATGCTAAAAAATTTCCTTGTGAAATTTTTTATACTAGCAATTTCACACCAATTGGCATTGAGCACACTCAGATTAAAACAAATGATGGACTTTATATCGACAATTTCTTCATGGAACTGTCAATTACAATGTACCAATATGAATTCCTTGTCAATAAATCATCTTGTACAGTTTATTGTATGCATGTATACTAATTTATTATTAAAGTAACTTACTATTGTAGCATCAGACTCAAGTTGACATGTATAGACATTATTAACAGATACATCATATCCTTCATCATCAGTCACTGTTCCACCAAACAAGACAGATTTATTATTACTGATCTTTGTAAGAGTAAAGAAAGAAGTAGGAGGACAACACTGTCCACTAATAGTTGGAATAATCCACTGTCCTAAAAGAGAAAGATCATCATATTATTGTAGCATAGACTAGTGGAAATAGAGAAACACATTAAAATACTTTATATTACACAAGTAGTTAATGGAATGTATTATGATTTAGAGCTAGATCTTACTTGTTGATAAATTCAATAAATTATGTTCATTAGTACGAACACGGCCATTATACAGCTGATCATATTGATACTGTGATTGGTATGTAGTGGGTGTAGAGCCATGTCCTCCTATTACTAGGAGGTATTCTGTACCCATAGACTCCATACACACCATACCACCATACCCTCTCTTCATTACGATATCACTACTTGATATTAACTTATTCCATTCATAAGTTAAAGTATTAAATAAGTTGACATCATTATGAAAGCAGTCATCATGTCCACAGTAGCCGCCTATATAAAAGATGTCGTTGTTTCTGACAGTACAGAAGTA